TGGACAAAAGTTAAGGAACGATGTTAATAATTTGCATAAACTTTTAATTTACATTGTTAAAAAACTCGATGGAGCTTTTCAATAATAAGTAAAAGTTCATTTATCATTAGGATTTTATTTTTAAGCAATATGGCAAATTCTACACACAAAATGCTCTCTTTTGAAGAAAGAAAACTCATTATTGCTAACTATCAAGAAAAAAAAGTCAATTTCAGAAATTTCTGATATTGTTCATAGGTCTAAAAGTGTCATTCATCATGTAATTAGCAGGTATAAAACCGATAAAACGTTAGATGCAAAACCAAAAACTGGCAGACTTCCAAAAACATCGTAAAGAAAAGATCAAAGAATTGTTAGAATATCTACAAAAAACCGTTTTGAAACTGCTACATCAATTGCCCATAAATTTAATGAAGAGACAGATAAGATCTCAAGGAAAACAGTTGTTCGCAGGTTAAAAAATGCAGGATTGCATGCCCATATTCCAGCTTCGAAGCCTCTCATTTCAAAGCGAAACCAAAGGGCATGCCTGGAGTATGCGAGAGAACATGTTGTTTGGACTGACGCACAATGGGATACAGTTCATTTCAGTGATGAGTCCAAGTTTACCATATTTGATTCTGAGGGCAAAACTTACATACGCTGTAGAACAGGTGAAAGACTGTCTTCTCAATGTGTCAAGAAAACTGTTAGGTTTGGTGGTGGCAGTGTGATGGTGTGGGGAATGATTTCATCTGCAGGAGTTGGCCCTATCATCTGCGTACATGGCAATATCAATGCTGAGATTTACAAAAGGCTTCTACAGCAGCATGTGGTACCAAGATTACACCATAATCTTTATGAATCTCCTATTTTCATGCAGGACAATGCACCTTGCCATAAGGCTCAGAAGGTTATAGCTTTATTTGAAGAAGAAGGAATCACCCTAATGAAGTGGCCAGCCCAGAGCCCCGACCTGAATCCAATAGAAAATGTTTGGAAGATAATTAGAGAAAAGGCTCAGAAAAGAAACCCGAAAAACCAGGATCACCTATGGGAGTTATTGAAAGACGAATGGGAGGGAATTACTGCTGATTTTTGCAAGAATTTAATTAGATCATGTGGTCGACGATGCAGAGAAGTCATTGAAAATAAGGGGATGTTTACCAAATATTAAATTTTGTTGATATTTTGTTCACAATCAAGTATTAACAAGATCATTCCTTAACTTTTGTCCAGTATCTTATTTCCTTTGTTCCATTTAATCTTTATTTTAAAAAAACAAACTATTATGTAAATTTTTGTAACTTTGTATAATATTTATGCATAACACCCTAATCTTTATTCGGTAAAAATTTCATTGCTAACCATGCCTTACTTTTTAAGTAATACACATATTTATGTTTGTTGTTTCCATTCCTTATATTATGGCCGTGTGTGTGTGTGTGTGTGTGTATATATATATATGGGCATCTGGCCGAGTGGTTAGAATGTTCACTTTCTGACCATAAGACCCAGGTTCAAATCACACCATGGTTGATCTGTCAGGAGACTTCTTGGTGTTATCAGTCTGGAGGGGGACAATCCCAATTGTGGCATGTTTGGAAAGTGCCTGAAAACCATACCACAGGTTGACCCAAGCCTTGTGAGTAAAATTGGGTAGATAGAACACTTGGGGTTCATCAACAGCTATGCTAGCACAAAGTCACAAGTCATTGTGACCGAGAGTTTGAGCATGCCAGATAACATGCTCTCTCCCAGAAACTGTAACTAAGCTCTATTCAGTATAGTTGCAGTATAAACCACAGGTGGGCTTTTTGGGTGTTGAACAAACACAAATGTGCCTGAGCGAGTGTCTGCAATAGGCTAGCTGCCCTGGTAGACAGGTATCCTCAAATACAAGTGGCCAGTTATTATTATATATATATATATATATATATGTGCAATAATTTCTATCATTTTTTATATCATTACTTGAACGGGCTTCTAATGCTCAAGTTTGAGCTGCTTGGTGATAGTAGCCGTGGCTCCTGGGGACACAGTCCTATGGTTAGAGAGAATCTCAGCAGAGTTCCACCACAGAATATGTGAGTGAGCGGCGCTATATTGAGTCTGATTTGAGACCTTTTCGTCACCAAGGCCCATTGGAACAGTTGGTATGACGTTTGCTTGATAACCTGTCTGGGTTTCAATTCTCGGTAGGGGATGTGCACTGCTGATGAGTCCCAAATATAGGACGAAACGGCCGTCCAGTGCTTTCTGCATTTTGTTGAAGTTTCTATCAAACTCAAAGAATTACTTCAATATATATATATATATATATATATATACACACACACACACACAAACACACATTCAAGAAAAAATTGCTAGTTATTTCAATGAATATTCATTATCAACATTGTGTCGGCTTTAAAAAAAATAATTTTCATGGCAGCAATAGATGGAAATTGCCTGGGATTACAGTTTGAGAACTCAATAGAAATAAGATTAATATGATTAAAAGTAGATACCCTAATGTAATTTATTGTCTAAAAAGTTTTTATCCCTTCTTTCATTAATGGATATTATAAAAATTATTTATAACTTTTCATCATCAGATTTCAATGGCTATTGTTTATTCTGTCTCCCAAGGCTTACTTTTTTTTTATCTCTTATACATAATGAATTAGGCCATTATTTCTATTTGTCGAGTATTTTAGACATGCATCGTTCACTTTCTACAGTTTGTGTCAAGCTGTTAATTAATACTTGTCTTGCTCCAAAAATCTTGACTTGTTTTTTGTCAATGTTCAGGTGTTGTTATTGACAATGGCTTAAAAGAATTTCAGAATATCAAAACATTTTAAAGACCTGAAATCAAAAGACTCATTACAAATATGTATTTACTCAGCTTTACAATCTTTAAACCCAGTTTCCTAAGCAACACTTTACAGTGAGATATATATATATATATATATATATATATATATATATATATATATATATGACTTACAAGGAAAATTTTATTAATTTATTATTTTTTAAAAATACAAAGACACTCACTCAAATTCCAGCCACACTCAATATGTGAAGGCTCAAAATAAATGATCCTGCTAGTATTTAAAACCACACAAAAAATACATCTCAAAGAGTCAAAAAATGAAGAGAAACAACAAAACAACCCCCCCACACTGAAGACATTTAAGGAAAATGATCTTCCTGATCTCATATGTTCCCAAGTAGGCATTTATGCCGACTACACTACTATTTACTCCTGCCTCAAAAACAAATCTAGTGTTACTGACAAACCTAACCTGGCCGTTTGTCTTGAAAAGGACCTCCAATCAATTGTGGACGAGGGCAGGAATTGGCTGGTTAACTTTAATGCCTCAAAAACAAAACTGCTCTCTATTACTCACCAGAGAGAACCATCCCTGCCTCCCATTAGAATGTCTGATGCTCAACTCCACGAGAGTACCTCTTTGCGACTGCTCGGTCTCATATTGTCCGCTGACCTGAGATAGAACCATTTGCCGTGGCATGGAGTATTGCTGCCATATATGGTCTGGAGCCCCTTCTAATTGTCTCAAGGTCCTTGACAAAATCCAAAGACGGATATACAATGTAATTGGCCCTGATCTGGCATCTCGTCTGCAGCCGCCTCCCTCTGACTTTTTAACAAATACTTTCATGGTAACTGCTTCAATGAGCTGCTTTTGCCGGTTCCCAGACTTCATGAATTCAAGTGTTCTACTAGGCTGGCATCTCGCTTTCACCTTTTCATTGTTGAAACTGTTAAATGTAGTCATCTCTTCTACTCCAATAGCTTCATGTCTTGCACTTCTCACCTGTGGAATTTCCTCCTCATTTCTTGTTTTCCTTATAGCTATAATCTCAAACTATTCAAATGTAATGTCAATCGACATCTCCAGATGCCCTGATCTATCCCCTAGCCTTCTCTTCATCCTTTCCTCTATCACTCCTTTTTGTTCTTGCTCCAACTCTGTAACCCCTTGCGTGCTAGTGGCCTTGCTTGGGATTGAATGCTTAAAAAAAAAAAGTGTCTGAAAGTGCTTGGGACAGTGGATAGTATGGACAATTTTTGCACTTTTGTCAGACAGAAAAACACATAAGGACACTGAAAAACTATATAAGAAATTAATAAAATTTTCCTTGTCTGTTATATTTAATTAAAGATGTTTAAAAGAAAGGTTGCTGCTCAAATAATATATATATATATATATATATATATATATATATATATATATATATATAAATAAAAAGAAAGAACAATAAAATATATAATCCGGTGTTCTTATAGATATTTTTATTTTTACAAAATAGCGCTCAATGTAAATTTACAGAGCATTAGTATTATAAATTAATTGATTTAAAATATGTTTTTTTTCCGCTACACAGTTCTAACCATGTTTCAAAAATGGAAGCTAAAAGCTTTGAATTTAATTTCGTAATTAAAGACATTAGTTCCATTCCATCTTCAAGCGAATTTTGGAGTAACTTATTTTTAAAATTACTGGGTTTTAAGGCACAGCAAAAAATCATAATTCACGTTTCCAAGGATACAGAGAAATCTATTCATCCAGACAAGGGGTGTTTGCATGTTCATTATCACTGTATTTTGTTGTATAATAAAATGACTTGTAACTGGAAAAACCGAATGAAAAAAGAATGTTAACAACAAATACTTTTTCACACCCAATCCAGTTCTACGGAATCAGAATCAACGTTGAGGTTAAGCAAGCGAATGAGCAAATTGGAGTAAAGTGCCATGCAGATTTAAATTTTTCCCCACTTGTGACGATATGGGTAATAATGGCACTTCACAACTTGCTATCCCTTGTGCCTCTAATCAATGTCTGTCCCTTATTATCACTCCCAGTTTTAGTTCTGCCATCCATTTATACAAGATTTTTATACGAGTTACTCAGTATTTTCCTCTACTCTTCTTGCTATATATATATATATATATATATATATATATATATATATAAGAGAGAGAGAGAGAGAGATAGATAGACAGATGGATGCAGAGATAGATAGAGATAGATAGAGATAGAGATAGATAGAGATAGAGATAGAGATAGATAGAGATAGAGATAGAGATAGAGATAGATAGAGATAGAGATAGAGATAGAGATAGATAGAGATAGAGATAGAGATAGAGATAGAGATAGATAGAGATAGATAGAGATAGATAGAGATAGATATAGATAGAGATAGATAGAGATAGATAGAGATAGAGATAGATAGAGATAGATAGAGATAGATAGAGATAGAGATAGAGATAGAGATAGATAGATTGATAGATAGAGATAGACAGATGGATGCATAGATAGATAGATATGAACAGACTGATAGATAGATGGATGCATAAAGAGAGATATGAACAGATTGTGATAACTAGATATGAACAGACTGGGATAGAGAGATAAATAGACATAACAGTCTTATACTTTTATGGACTGTTAATTAAGTCTGTTAACATTTTAAACTAATGCAGATTGTGGAATTACAATTATGTAGTTTGTCCTATGCAAATAGTTTCTGTTCAGTAAGAAAAGCAAACAAAATTGAGTGTACAGATAAAAATGTTTTGACATTTGAATTCCACATAATCTGCTCATCACAAATAGGCATAAATATTTTTAAATATATTATGCTCTCCACAAAATTTCTCAAAAGAAACAGGATATTAAGAAAACAACATGGACCTTTGATATTTACAAAACGGTCAAACAATAATAATAATATCAATAATATAATAAAGAAAGCGAAAAATTCAAACAAGGTTTAAAACTAAACAATCAAAATGAAATAGAAGGTGAAATACCAACAAAAGAGACGAAATTAAAAAAAAAATTAAGGACCTATACAACATAAAAACAAGTAGGTAGAAAAACTCTTATATAGACATATCAATAAAAGTCTAATTCACCTGTTTGCTGAGCTCTGGGTTTAAATAAAAAAATAAAAAAAAATGAGTCCATATAAGCTGCTCAAGATCAATGCATGATAATAAAAGCTTATAAAGCACAGAATTCTTCTATGTGATCATGGCTCTCCACAACTTTCTATTTCATGTGGTTCTCAGTAGTTTTTCTACATTTGCAAAGGATCCCATTGCACAATCTTGTCATATAAGTGTCTCACTGCCTTCCCCTATCTCTCTTAACCCTCAATATGCCCTGTGAGGGTTAAATTTTCCAAATCCTCTGTCCTCACTCAATGGAATTTCAGCTATCTTTTCCTGATTTTAAGTATGTGTTCTTTCTGTTACTATTTTCTTGGAGACTTCCTTTTGCTTATTTACTTCATCCATGGAATTTCCAGTATCTGCCTGTAGAACCACATTTCTGCTGCCTCCAGCTTTTCTTCATTCTTAGGGAGATTGTCCAACATTCAGCATAAGAGAATGGATATCACGTAGCAATCCAGAAATCTTTTATTTTTCCATTTCAGCATGCTTCTTTTGCTAGTCCAGTGTGTGTTTGGATCTAGGTGTCGCATTTTCCGTCCTCTGTTAAAATGGCTCCCAGATATTTGAACTTCTGAAGCCTGCTTGATGTTTATATAGCACCGATGGAATTTAAAAATAGGACTGATAGGTAGGGCAATACCTACATTGGAAGATATGCTAATATTATAATGTACACCATAAATAAAAATGGTATAAGCAAAAACAACTACTAGAAGGTGCTCATGTTATTGTTAAACTACAGTATACAATGTGAACTGAACTATACAAGCAAACAGAAAAGATATTGTTATAAAAGACCTCAATGCATTGAATGTAATGTTGATCTAGCGGCTTGGCTTTAATCACTTTCCCAATGATGTAAGGTTGCCACTGTGCTTTTTCTAAAATATTTTCATGGTAATTGTTCGGATGAGCATCTTGGCTTCAGTCACTTTCCCATCACCGTAATGTAGCTTCTTTCTGCCTTTTCCATAAATACTTTCATTGTAATTGTTCTGATGAGCTTTCCTCCTTGGTACAGTCTTCACCTGGCATCTCGGCTTCAGTAACTTTCCCATCACCGTAATGTAGCTTCTCTCTGCCTTTTCTATAAATACTTTCTTGGTAACTATTCTGATGGGCTCTTTACTATGGTATTTAGACTTTATGAATTTCAGCTCAGTACTAGACTGGCATCAAGATCTCATCATTTTACAGTTGAGGTGGCTAAATGTAACTGTAAATTCTATGCTAACAGTTTCTTTTCTCACACTTCCCACTTGTGGAACTCGCTTCTGGCTCCACCATGTCCAGCCATCTTTAATATGCAAAAAGTTATATGCAATGTCAATTGCTACCTACTGTCCTCCTAATTTCCTCTTCCCGTTCATTATTAATGTTTCTGTTTCCTAATTCTTCAACACCCTGTAACCCCTTGTGTCTTAGTGGCTTTACTGCCTTGCATGAGCTGATACTGATTAAAAACATTATTGCAAAAGTAAATAAATTCTCTAAATGTAACTTATCTCTATAATAGTAGCAGTGCTAAGGAGTTGGATCAAATTGTGCAGCAATTGTATTAGATGAGGTTTACTGTTAGTCACCACTGGGAGGAATTACAACTTGTAACAGCTGATTAAAAAGAAGACTTTCATCTTTCCATTGAATGAAATCTTTAAATTTCCCATCAAAAGTTGTGCCACAAACATTTATTCTTGTGTGAAAATTTAAATCAATGCTTTCATGCTATCTCAGAAATACCAAGTGAAACTGCAATCTTATCCTTGGTTCACTCCTACTAGTTCAGTCACAAGTCGCACTTTCACATATACCAATATAATAGCTCAGGTTATGACTGTAATAATTATAAATGTGTCTTCATTGAGACTAAGTCACTGTTTGCTGATAGAATAAATTTGGTTCTCATGATTACTAGTAGCTCTCTGTAAGATTGTGTTAAACATGGGTAAATTCTCAATGTCTCTACTCATTTTGAAACATTAACATCTTCAGCTAATAAAGTAGAATACTTTGCTCATAAATTCTCTTTCAATTTCACTCAATTCTTCAGGAGTATCTTCATCTGACTTTCTACTCTATCCATAGTTTCCACTGTCAAATCATTTTCCACTAGATTCCCACAAAACATGCAGACTTGACAGGATCCCTGCAATTGTCCTAAAGAAACGTAATCCTCATTTAGCACCTGTTCTCTCTAAACTCTACAACAAATTCCTTGTTGTTTCTTCCTTTCTTTCAAGCATATTGGAAATCCTCTTTCATAGTTCCTGTTTTTAAGAACTCAGGCAAACTGTCTGATCCTTCAAATTATTGATCTATTAATATTCTACCTCTCTTTGGCAAAGTACTAATAAACTCTATAATGAACTAATAAACTCTGAATGGGTTAAACACCTCACTTTGCATACTGTTATCAGGTGAAAGATTTACTAAATTATTGTATTAAGCAGTAAGTCACAAAGAAATGATGATGAAATATGTGAATAATAATAATAATAATAATAACTAAGTTATTTGATCTGTAGGGCCTCACTCCCATAAGATTTTGCACTGTTTTTATCAAAATCTCATACATTTACATGTCATGCAACTCCAATATGCTCAGTTACTTCTTTAAAATATTTTATTTACCTGAGGTGATCAAGTTACCATTCTTTGGTGCTTTGCCATTCATACTGACAGACATATAAAAACTAACAAATCAGACAGAGTGATTAAAAAATGTATAAACATCAACCTGAACCAGTCAGTAAAAGGTCATGACATCACTATTCTTTGGGGCTTTTGCCATTCATAATGAAAAAAAGTTAATAGACCAGATATAGTGATTAATAAGTACAAAAGTGCCTACCATTTTAAATTCATTAACAAAGTGTTTTCTGGGGGATTTATTTTTATATTCATTGATAAAAATCACAATATTGGGTCACTTTTTATATGTAAGAGTTTTTGAACTTATATAGTTTACATGGGTTTTAATGTAGACTTCAAAGAATACCAATGTTCATTTTTTTTATAATAATAAGTCAATATTAAAAACATGGGATGAAGATCATTTTGAACTAGTCACAGAAAACAATAAGGTACTTTACCATTTATACAATCTTGACACCAAAGGAATGCAAAGATCAACATGATAAAATTGGGCAGTATATTCATTGGAAGATATGTCAGTATTACAGTATACCACATGTTGAAAAAAAGATATGAACATCACCCTGAACCAGTAAGAGGTCATGAGGTCACTTTGGGATTTTACCATTCATACTGAGAAAAACTAATGTAACAGATACAGAGATTAAGGACTCCAAAAATCGCCTCATCATAGATAGAGCAGTCAGATAAAAATCTGTTAAAGAATATTATGAAATTAATAAATAAAAGAATGTTGAAATTTAAATTGAAAAAAATGGCAGCTCCTTAAAACTAATGTTATGCCTATAATAGTTTAAGTCCTGAGTACTATCAGAAAATGTACTAGGAATGGAAGAGAATAAGACGACTTTAGAAGGAACCAGAAACCCAATCCTAAACATGAAACAAGGGATAAACCTCTACTCCTGTCCAATAGACACAGAAGTAGTATGAACCAAGCATTGTAATATTGAACAGATTTTCATTCTAAGTCTTCCCAAAATAAACACATCACACCTAAGCTTATCAACATTGGAAACTTTAAGCATTTATGACAATGATTAGAATACCATTATATTGCTCACTTTCCAGTTGTAAATCTTTAAAAACAAATCCTTATTGTATTAATGGTTTTACCAGACCTTTAAATAAATGTTAATGCTATCTAACTATTTTCATTCTACTGATTATCATCAAATGTTTTTATTCAAAACTTCATCTTCCTCTTGAATAAATTAATGCATTATAGTAATGCTAGGATTTAGGCCATAAGAGGCTTCATGGGCTAAGAGAATTTGGGGGCTCCGTCTATAAAAATATATATATTTTTAGGTGATACTTTTTTGGTGTAAAATTTGAAAGACTTCAATTAACATTTATCCAATTTATTTTATTAACACCTTCCTGGTATTTTTTTATCTGAACTTTACATCATACAGAAATGTATCTAGAACGAAGGGCCTGTATTACAATAAAATATAAATTGGGCCCCTTTAAAGGACCCCATCAAATTTTAAAGCCCACTCCAAATAGTCAAAATTTTTTCAAATTAGTTCAAAGGAGTCCCATTAAATGTGAACAGAAACAAATCTCCTCTGTTCTTACATCTTTATTTTTTTTTAGTTTTGTCAGGGGCCTAAAAATAATTTGTGGGCTCTTGGGCTGCAGCCCCTATGTAAATCTGGTACTGACTGGCTAATACCCACATCTTTTGGGTAATCCACTTATGGGTGAGAAAAAAAAACTAGATGCAGGGTGCAG